TTCCATGTATGGCCGGCAGCTAAACTCCGCCACAAACATGTTGTCTCCTTTCCCTCCGATCGCCCGGAACTTGAGACCAGCAGGATTGCCCCAGGCCGACTTCATCACGGAGCGGATGGTATTCACGTGGATGGGCGTCGGTGAGAGCACCTTCCCCACCACCGTCCATTCCAAACTCAGTAGATTCTCCTCATCCTCTCCATCACTGAAATCCGCCACGGCTTCTTCTTCCTCCGTTAGATTCAGCCGCCACAGGAGATCAGTCACGTTAGGGTTAGGGCTAACACCCCCGTCCCCCGTGCTGCCATTCCTTTCCGACGCCATGCGATCAGACTGGAAAGCAAAACAATGGTGAACTGCGCTACAAAATGGCGCAGACACAAACGTTGTCCCGACCTAGGAAACCTAAGCGGCGCTAGTCCCTAGGGGAATTTGTGGGCTACAACGCCTGAACGACTAACCGGCGATATGCGGTGTCCGCCGCCGACTGAGGGTCGGCAGGCGTGGCGTGGGCGCCGAGACCTAGTGGTCACCGGCGTTGCTGATCCAGATCACCAGAGAAGATGACCTAGATCAAGGTCGAGGGCTGAGTCGCCTTCACGATCGCCTTCCAATCTGATCCAGAATTTCCAGGCGTCATTCTAATCCACCGCTCGACCTGTCACTTGTGAATGGTCTGTCCGCGGCCGCGGGCGGGACGTAGGTGCGCGCGTCTTCACTCCATCTCCACATCCTGCGCGGTCGGTCGCTGCGACTGCGAGCCACGCGAAACGCGGCCAGAGCGCCAGTGTGTCGGCGCGAGCTGGTTTTTCAGGCTCATAATACGAATGGCGCTGGACGCCCTCGTCCTCTGGGGCGATGATTGCCGATCAGTCTCACTCCATCCGTCTGTTGATAATACCTAGCCTCTGGATTTTAATTTGCCCCTTTTTGCTACACATACACAGCGCGATGGATCCCGACGTGACGCGCGGCCAAACTATGCCATCATGCCCGACCTTCGCACACGCAGATGCAGGAGTACGTGTAGTTGATAGTCGGTGCTGGGTCGCTCTCCGCGCTCTCAAATCCTGCTGTTTCTTCCATTTCAACGAGTCGTTTGTACGTACGGGCCTTAGAAAACGGCCGGCCGGCCGGCACACGTACCTGCTGCTTCTATCTCGTGCTCGAAACTGCCGTCTCGTCCGTAAGGGGACATGGCCATGTTACGCACAGCTCAATGGAACGCACAAAATAATAAAGAGGAGACGATATCGTATCAAGTACAGTAACGACTAGTGGGGATCAATTGTACACTTGAGTGGGAATTTACTCTGTATATATATGGTACGTACTTAAAATTGTGAGATTTTGTGTGCGCGCATAATAATAAATTAAACATGGTAATATAGAAAACCTATGACACGTGTATAGCTATAGATAGAGTAGAGCTTATATTAACTTATTCTGCACAGGTTCGGAAATTATAAAGGGGAAATATATATAAGGACATCATTTGCTACACGAAGATTTAATTGCTCGATACCGACTACGCGTAATCGCGAGCGACGTTGATCGCCATCGTACTAGCTAGTAGTACGAACGAACGCCGCGCCCGTCGTCGTCACAACTCACACGTCGACGGTGCAGTCGGCCGGGTGCGTGAACTTGAGCGAGACGGTGGTGTTGACGCCGGCGGGGACCCCAACCCCCGACGCCGTGCTGGCCGCGAACGCGCCGCCGGCGAAGGGGCTGCCGCTGGTGGCGAGCAGCGCGGGGCAGGTGACGAAGAGGTTGTAGCCGCCGGAGACCCAGCTGCCGACCTTCCACTTTACGCGGCCCTCCACCTTGACGTGGAGCAGCACGTAGCCCGCCGCGATGTCCTGCTTCATGGCGTCCGCCACGTACTGCGCCACGGGGACGGCGTCGCCCGACATCACGGGTGACCACACCGACACGTCTTTGTGGCCCTGGTAGATCGACGGCATCGACACCGGGACCGTCACGGGCTCGTCGCGGTACGTCGTGAACGCGTCCAGCGTCTTGTAGTACACGCCCACACGGTCGTTCGGGTTCCGCGACGCGATCGTCACCTGCGTGTGGGTCGTGCCGGCCGGCAGCCCGGCAGGTACCACGCCGTGCGTTAGTTCGTCGGACTCCGCCACGAAATCGGCCGGGGGTGGACAAATGCATGCATCAGACTAGCTAGCTAACACGTCGTGCGTACCTGGAGGTCGAGGGAGAGCGACGGGTCGCTGAGGTCGATGGACCGGAGCTGCACGTCCTGGAGGTAGAAGGACGGCTTGGAGGGGTGCAGCGCCAGGTAGATGACGAGCACGATGAAGCCGACCACGACGAAGAGCGTGAGGATGCAGGCGGCGATGGAGCCGCAGCAGCGGCGGAGGATCCAGTCGCGGTGGTGCTTCTCCTTGCTCATGTCGGCTGGACCGACGACCTGCTGCCCTGCCGCGGTGCTGGACTGGACTGGGACTGGGAGTTCAGCTGGGCTGCCTTGCTGCTGGCTAAGCTTAGGACTGTGCGCGCATGTGGGCAGTGGGAAGCTAAAGTGTGGCGCGAGTGGGGTGGCCTTTTATTTACTCCCGCCGGTAGACTAATAAACTAGAAGAGGTATATGGTGAGGTGCGTGTTTTAAAAAAGGGGCTTTTGTTTTGGGCTTACAGGGCAGGGGATGGACGAAAGCTACAGCTCAACCATCGAAGATTCTTCTGCTTCTTCCCGGGGCCCCTTTGAGCATGGAGGTTGCCTATCGGCTAGTGCATCTGCCCTGAGATCCGTGCTGGGCCGGTGGTTACTGGTTAGTCCGGGTACTCTGATGCTGCTTGAGCTTCACTCCACGCCGGTTGGTCAACTGGGGCCGTTCTTGCATGGGGACCTTTTTGCATATGCGCATCGAGGTTACAGGTTGACTCTCGGCCGTATATTCCTGTGCCATTGACCAATGTTGCCGAAATACTCCTGCTTCACATAATTCACACATGCAAATGCATACATATAAGACTAGGTTTTTCTACGGCTGTCCGATCCCCATTTCACGCGATGAACAACTCCAATGTGTGGTAGTCGAGACTGGCTACATCAAGCCTGCATGGAGATACGCGCGAGAGATGCATGATTTCTTTCGCGCGTACCTTAGCTATGTCCTCACCCCCTTTCGATTTCTCCCATCTCCAGCGCCGGAGGGCCTAGAGCTGCGCGGCGCACAGCGATCCCGAGCGAGGGACGGACGCCGGAGCCCGGAGGGGCGTCGGTGCACGCGCCCCCTCGTGCCGTCGCGTCGTGAGCACGCAAGCTTGCTTGCGTCGTCGACGGTTGCTACGTCGTGTCATGCGGTGGTGCCACGCGCGCCGCTCGGCTGATGAGCCGCATCGATCAGGTGCGCAACCAAACAAGGGAGGCGCATGAATCATTGTGCCCTGTGCGCGCGCTCGGCCCGCCGGTGCCCTCCGTTCCTAGCTTATCCCCCCACTCCCACCGACTGCGCTGTGCCCTACGGCACGGACCACCCCTGTTTCGGCGCACCAGCACGCATGTATGCCCTGTCCCCTAACTATAATAATAATCACTCGATTTGCCTCCACTGAGCTATCGCTAGCTCTAATCAGAATCCAGTAAAGGAATGGGAAATCACACTGTGGTTCTTTCAATGGCCATGGCTGTGGTGAACAAAATAGTAAATCAAGGGAGGTTGAATCACTGCTGTTGGTGGATAACGTTGTGCATGGCACGTAAACTCGTACGTACAGTGCTCTTCTTTATGAATTCTTTTACCAAAAGCTTGAGATCAAAAGCATCAGACCAGACGCGGCAAACGCCAAAAGGGCTGTGGAAAGGGCTTTTGGATCGTTTCATTTCCGTCCATTCCTAGGTAGTGTCTCCGTGAGTCAGCATGACTTGACAAAGGCCGTCTCTTTTGCCATACAAAAAAAAGAGGATCGATCTTAAGTAGAAGTGGGGGCTAAAGGAGGCAGCCTACACTACACTGACTTAGCCAGGAAGACAAATGATCCGGGGTGAGTTGAAACCACACCGCACCACTATTTCCGCGGAATTTTATCTGATTTGTCGACTAGTGATGATTGATTTCAGGAACACCAGCTCGCAGGTACAAAATAATTTAGAACAAAATGATTAAATAAATACATACAACAAGACTGGAGCAGGATGCATCGTCATCATCATATATACATGCCACCTACCCTGCACTGCATCCAGCACCATAGAAAGAAGATACATTAGATTCAGGACCATTAGAAGCTTGTAAGTGCAGAGCAAAGTAGCCAGACGATTCCTGCCACTCTTCTGCGGGCGGGCTGTGTGTGATGGGGTATGTCACCTACCGTCCCATCTCTTTTGTTCTGTTTGGTAAGCAGAGCTAGCATAGCAAATAGCATTAGCCGGCCAGGAATCTCCCTCTGTTCCCTCAAAAAATAATCTCCCTCTGGCTGATGGAGTGTGGCATGCATTTTGCGGTTGGTAGCGGAAAGCGCAGGGAATTATTTGCGCCATTTTACGGTTGGTGGCGCAAAGGCCTAGAGAATTATTTTGATGGACCTCTGCTCGCTCCATTATCTTGCGCGGGGAAGGTGAGGTTGGGAATCTGTCTACTGAACATTCGGTTGATTTTGGGCTCCCTAGCAACCGGTTGTTTCAAAGCCCTAAAACAACCAGAAAAACAAAAAAGAAAAACGGTTGTTCCAAACCAATGAAACAACCGATTTATAAAACCACAGGATCAACATCTAACAACATCTTTTGGTGTTGTAGGCCCAAAAATTGAGAAAGAAAAGGCCCAAACAACAAAAAGGCAATAGGCCCAAAAATGAAACTCAGAAAACAACGGAAACAGAAGCCCATATAAAAGCCATCAACTTATTCCCCAAGGAAAAAGAGAATAAAAAAACAGATCTGAATCGAACAAAAAAAATGAGACGGGTGATAACTTACCTACGTGCAGAACAAACATAGAAAGAGAGGGGAAAAAGGAAGATCGAGATCTACAGATGGATGAAGGGAGCAGATCTGGAACTACAGAGCAACAAAGGATCAACATCTACGATCAGGTGCATCCTACTCCTTGTACATCACCCACGGCACAGCACTTCCCAATCCGACTGCCATACTGATTCTCCATCACTGCAGTGAAAAATATCATTTATGATGTAAATTAATTTGTGTCCCTAGTAGTCAATAGCATGCAGTAGTAAGTTAATTTGCATTTCCCAAAGTGATCGGCGTGCAGTAGTAAAAAAATTAGTAGCATGTATTCCTTCTCTAGTAGAGTGGCCAGCTTGCGCACAAGGGAAATCATGACTACACAAAACAATACTCACCATGATTTCCTACATTGTTATTTCCCCTTCCAGCACTAAAAATCTCTCTGTGTCAGCTGCTCAGTTAACATACAAATTTCTAATCTCTATGCTTGGCAAATATTCATGGTTTTATTTGTCAATCTGTCTACCAGGGAAAATTAAGTTTTCAGACAAATTAGATTAAGTCCTGAAAGAAATATGCTTGCCATGTAGATTATAATTGGTCTACTGGACACACTACGAAATTTATCAAATATACTCGGTATTCATTTGCAGTATACTCTCTTTCATTGTCCAAAATGCATCTAACAAAACTAGATGTAACAAACTCTCTTCTTAATGCAATGTCATGCAGTTCTCTTGCATGTTCAAGAAAAAAAAAGTTGTCTAAAATGCAGAATCTGGAGGCCAAAATATTTAAATCTTTCAGATCTATGAATTTAACACAAAATTAAAAAAAAAACAGTATACACAGGAGTACAGGACAATCATGCCATATTCAAGATCTAATCAGAAATGATCCATTTTATAATCACACATGAGGTTCATAGAAAAGGTATATAACAAATCATTCAAGCATTCAGCAGTTCAGCTGAAGTAAGAGCCTGCATTTTTCTAGCTCTACACTAGAACCACAAACAGTCAGCCTACTTAGATTTACAAAAATTCATGAAAAAAAATCAGCACATATCTAGGCAATGCTGCCTAAAACAAGGCATCAGAGCATTTAGCCCACCGAGCCCTGGGTGTGGAATCAGTAACCATGCATAAGGTGTTTCTGGTAGCGAGTCAGAAAACTAAACAAACTATCCAACAGTTTCATACGAGGGGATTCCCAAAAAAAAACATGTTCCACAGAGTGGGGGAAAGTTTGGTGCAATATGCAATTACATCTAGCATCTAATAGTTGTGAATGTGTGTGCCCTTTAGGAGACTACAGGTTCAAGAACTGAAATATACTGGAACTAAATGAAAAATAAATGAAAATGGTCATCCAAATAAATTATGAATACTGCATGTTTTAGTCCTCACCTGATTAAGCATCCACTTGAAGCCAATAGCAGCAGTGCAATCAGCAGGTGCACAGATGCATATTCCATTCAGTGCCAGTATATACATTGCAGCCCTTTTCTGTGGTAAGATCTGTTATTTTGTAACCTTCTGCTACAAAGTAACAAACCTGACAGCAAAATAACACAAATATGAATACTCAGGTGGGTTGAAGCATCCATTTGGCTCCAACCCTAATAAACAGTGGGTAAAACAGGGCAAAAAAATTCTATACTGACTAACTTATTACTACATTTTGCATGCAGGATGGAGTGGGGGATACATGTAAGGACAAGTTTACAGCGACATCACTGCAAGAAAACCAACTGCAGGTAACTTCTGAAACATAAAAATTTGCAAAAAAGAAAAAAATCAATACTTCATACTATAACTTAAATACTGTATGAAATTCATATATCCAAGACAAAATTTGAAAAAACAGGTACAATTGCCATACCTTGCAAGCAATCCAATTGCAGCAACAACTTCAAGGCCTCTGATGAACCAATGGCAGGACGAGTTCGGGCTGATGTACAACTTCCAGGTATGAAAAAATAAATAATAAAAAAAGACATAAGATAACAGCAAGTTTTGTACACCTTGATCATGTACTGTTTACAGATTGATGAAGGGACATCAACACAAACAACAAATACAAAAGGAAATACTTCTACTGCTAGGGGAAGTTCAAACAATGAAAGAACAGAAATGGGACAATGCAGTGCAAACCTGTTTCAATGGCATAGCAGCAGCAAGGTACGTGGAAAAAAATGTTGATTCATTCTTTACAAAACCTGAAAACACAAAACTATAAAACCTGATACAAAAAAAATCACAGGAGAGCTTGACAGGGCTGCTAATGGAGCAAATAAAAAACTCCCAAGAAGAAATGTACTCGGTAAAACATATTTACACTTCCAAAAAAATTTATTAACTTGCATGTGCTAGGCACCTGAGAAAAATCAGTGTATTCTTTTTCTAATAACATTTGAACATGTGTTCAGTTATCTCAAGAAATGCAGGGGTCGTATACAAGTATGCTGCTTGGTACACAGCTTTTTCAGGTAAAAAAAAACAAAAACAAATTATATAGATGCAAAAAGTTGAATAATACTACTCAAAAGACAATGTACTTATTTCTATTTAACAAAAAATGCTATTGTTATTTAATACACAGGAAAATCTACAAGGACAGACACAAATTTCAGACTATTGCACAGGGGATGACTATGTCTTATCTAGAAAGCAAACAGGGAAACAGGTAAAAAGAATGCCATAAAAAAAAGTTGACTAAGCACAACAAACCATCCCAAAAACTTGCCTTTATTCCTAACAATATATTTTTGCAGATGGCTCTCGACAACATGAACAGCAGCCCTGAGAGAAACAAAGATTTCAATAACTCAACTACAGAATTTGAGGTAAGACTCTAAAACACATGAAGTCGTATTACATATATGTATTAACAATTTCAATATGATACAAAAAATATGAATAAGTACTTATTACATTAATAATTTTCAGGACTACCAACTCAGGGACTGGGATGAAGAATACTTATCAGAGCCTGAAGAAGAACAATGGCAGAATGGCATCTTCAGAAACATGGAAATTCAAGAGATACGAGAACGAACAAGTGCTGTAAAAGATTCAACAATGACAACATCAGAACAGAGCGTGCCAGCTGAAGAAATAGACAGAGCAGATAGAAATGGAAGCCAAGAACTCACTGAACAAGAGATTGATGAATTTATCAATAGAGAACAGATGGCAGCTTCTGAAGGAAACAACGCAGATATCAATAGCTTGTACACATCACAGTTAGGGATGTAATTTAAAACCAAAGATGATGCTCAACACTTTTTCAACTTCTATGCATACCTTGCTGGTTTTGAAACAGCCGTAGCACATGTCTTCAGAACTACAAGCAAGAAAAGGAATAATGAAGTCACCAAAGTCACAATCAAGTGTAACAAGTATGGAAAACAAGAACCAAAGACAGTAGATCAGCAGGAGGTAGCAGTGGACAAGGATATTGGAAAAAAGAAGGGACCAAAAAGACAAACAAATGTAGTAGTGAAAACAGACTGCCAGTGTGTTATGGTTGTCAAAGAAGAAAATGGAGCTTGGAGGATTATTAGACTTGATTTGGATCACAACCATGAGCTGCAACCAGCACACAGAGATCAATAGTTTAGTGGACACAAGTATATGACGGATATGGAGAAGGCACTCATAAGGACCTTGAATGATAACAATATTCCAACAAGAAAGATGATTTCTATACTGTCCTATCTCAGAGGAGTCACAGCACTTCCGGTGAAGAAGAAGGATGTTAGCAACTTCAGAACAAAAATAAACAGAAAGGTCAGAGGACCAGATATGACTAAGGTCTTGGACAACATCAAATCAGGAAAGCTGATGATCCTAGCTTCTTCTACAAGTTTGAATTAGATGAGGAGAACAAAGTAAAAAATATTTTTTGGAGAGATGGATCGTCGCTGAAATATTACGCAGAATATGGAGACTGTGTCAGCTTTGACACAACATACATGACAAACAAATATAGGTTGCCATTTGCACCCTTTGTGGGTATCACTGGACATGCACAATCATGTATCTTTGGATGTGCTTTCCTACATGATGAAACTACAGAAACTTTCAAATGGGTGTTTGAAACATTCCTAGAATCAATGGGAGGCAAACACCCTAGAACTATCATAACAGACTAGGATAAAGCGATGAAAGCAGCTATTCAGGAGGTGTTCACAGATACAAGGCACATAAACTGCTTGTTTCACATCAAAACAAAATGCTACTCGAAGAATATCAAAATATTTGCAGCAAAAGATGGCCTCTATGAAGAATTTGAAGACACGATGAACAACAGTTTGATAGAAGAGGAATTTGAGTACTTGTGGGGGAAGATGATTGAGGAAAGACAGCTACAGAACAATAAGTACTTCACGAGGATGTGGGAGATAAGGGAAAGATTCATCCCAGTTTACTACAAAAATGATTTCTTCCCTTTCATCCAAACCACATCAAGGAGTGAGGCTGTGAATGCAAGATTCAAGGAGAATGTGGGGCCAACCTATCAGCTTCTTGGCAGAGTACCAATGCATAATAGATACAATAGAGAGAGCAGAGAATCTAGAGGACCACTACAGCGCCCAGAGTTGTACAACATGAACATATACAGAAAGTTCCAGGTACAGTTCAAAGCTACATCAACAATGACTTACAAGGAAATTCAAGAAGGCAAAGTGTTTGAAGAGAAGAATTCAATTGCATCTGCGCCAAATTTAACAAAGACGGCATCCTCTGCTCACACATCCTGAAAATAATGATAGAAAAGGAAGTCAGCAGGACACCAGATAAATACATAATAGATAGATGGAGAAAAAGGGATGTGAGATTGGTCAAGCAAAAAATAGAAGAGAACACAGTGGCAACAAGTTCATTGCTCAGGTTCAATGTACTATCAAGGAAATCTACAATTTTGAATTCAAAAGCAGCTAAAAAAGAAGAAGCAACAAAATACCTTATGGTAGAAATGGACAGGATTGACTTGCACCTGGAAAAGCTGCTGGCACCTCAAAGAACTGATAAGCTCAGAGCGAACTAAGTTCACATGAACAGGGACAGACAATAGAGCCAACAAATGCAGCACTGAATAGTTCAGAAAGTAATATTGAAGATCCAGAAACAACAACAAAAAGGGGCAGGCCGCCATTGCCGAAAAAAGAATAAAGCCATTAATAGAAGAAGTTAAGCAGAAAATGAAGCAAAAAGAAAGCAAGAAGAAAAAGAAAGCAACATCAAATGAAAGCACAGGTAAAAAACATATAAAAACAACTTTTCTATGTTTAGTTTAGTAGCTATTAAATTTTTTTCATACACAATTAGACAAAAAACAGCATTGATCAAAAATATTTTTTAAACTTGCAGGCTCAACAGTCAAGCCCAAGTCCAAGAGGATGAAGGAAGCTTCAAAGAAGAACACTGATGCAGCATAAAACAACTGAAGAGGGCGAAAAGCAAGAAGTAGGGAGAAAGCCTTGATTGTGGAAAAGGAGGATTGGATAGCAAAAGTAATAGTTGAAGCAAAAAAAGGAAAATGGTGTATCTATTTAGACATTTGTACTTGGTTAAAAAAATATATATGTAAAGGTGTTTGGTTAAATTATGGAGATATTGAACTTACTGTATGGAAAAGCTTTTTTAGAAACATCAATGATGCACTTGTGGGTTATATGCAATGTAGAGAACTATACAGTGCTAAAAAAATATCATTCATATTCAATATAGTAAGGTACCAAGCATTCAAACACAAAAACCTACTGATTACAGAAAAAAACATATATGATAATAAAACTTCATAGCACAATGTGCAATCATGCACGTCACTGCACACAAATCTCCTAGAAAAAAGGGACAGGGAAAACATCTATACGTAGTACACCAAGAAAAAAGAGCTTCCATCATGTTGAGGCTACAGCTCATGCATATCTACATAGCTATATTTCTGCATCAATTTTCTAACTATGACCATTTTGAGGTTCTCTCTATTCACATACCCCGAGGATCAATGCCCTGTAGTATAGAAAGTTAAAAAGAAATGTATCAAATAAAAATGGAAAAAATGAACATAAGACAAATGAGAAAAAGGATGTCAAGCTAACCTGCTCAAATAAATTATGTACTAGTGTTTTGTCAACAACATTCTTCTTGCTGAAAAAAGTGCATTCCCAACCTTGACTCTTAGACTAGGGATGTCAGACTGATCAAAAACATGCCTAAGGTCGATACTGTTATCCCATAACTCCATGAACTTAATAGCAAATATGCCACAATCATGTCTGATAGAAAAACACAAATATCAATCGGTGCAGCTTAATAAGAACAAAAAAAATTTGAATAGATTAAACTTACATGTTGTTCTGTTTAGGGACAGGAGGGTACACAACTGAAAAGACATCCAGGTCTAACTTTACTTCAGCATGTTCATACCAACACTCTTTGAAAGCCGGAATCTGCACACACAAAAAAAAAACAGATGTTGCTCTACATTGCAAATGCAACCTGAAATATATAGGCTAGAATTATATGGAGCTGCAAGATACTTACAATACTATCCCTTGTCTCAATTTGAATGCTATCATTCTCACCAAACATAGAGTCCAGAAAAACAAATAGTTTCAGCCTCAAATCCACAATGAAAACAGACCAATGCTTTATGTGTGCGTGGAAGATAGGGAAACAAAGCTGCAAAAGGGGAAAACATAAAAAAGAATAACCAAAAGAACATGAACAAATACACAAGACTAAAGATACAAGTGCATTTACAAACAAAAAATGTCTTACTTTATCAGCTAAATGAAGCTTTAACGCTGAATTAGCACCAAAAGAATTCTTTACAGTATTGGCTTCATAGGTAGATATATATGACAACAAACACAACTAAAAAATAGATAATTAGAAATAGATACAACAAACAAAGCACAAAAAATAATACATGGTTACTATACATACACCAATCCTAGGGTAGAAAAAGTGCTTCCTTGATTCTCTTGGGTGACTATCATCAAAGAGCTTACGACAATATCCAGCAATGAAAAAATTATCAACATGGCCCAAAGGCTCTATTGATTCACCCAAAGACTGGTATGTAACACTAGTCTTGAATAGCTTTAACACCCTCAAAGCTACATAAAACAAAAGATACACATAAAAACCTACATGACAAATAGACAAAAAAATAATATACAAAAATAAAAATGAAAAAATTATGTACCAGCTCCATTGGCTGTGAGCAAGACCACAAAAGACTTTATAGTAGCGCATCTCAGTTTCAGACACATTAAAACGATGAGAAGATTTTTGATGCTTGAGACTATGATCTGCACAATACACAAAACGTAAGGAAAAATGAAAATCCACAGCTAGACAAAATAGACCAAAAATAAACATGAAATGGAAACAACATAAGTCCACATAATTTTAATTATATGAAAACTGAAAATAGAATAAAATGGACAACAAATGAACCTGAAATCAAAAACCTCGATTCTACAATAATGAAAATGAACTAAAACTATCTTAAAATGAACCTGAAATCAAGAACCGAGATTCTTTTCTCGAACAAAGAACCGAGATTCTAAAAAAGTAAAAATGAACTATAACTGAAATAGAGATTCAGATTGATTCTTGCAAACAACAAGATTCTACGGTACTGAACCTAAAATAAAAATGACAAGAACTGAACCTAAAATCTAAAAACTGAAACTAAAATCTATGCACTAAACTAAAACTCTGAAAACTAAACTAAAATAAATTTTAACTAAATCTGTAATCAAACACAACTAAAAATGAAAAATAGACTATACTAAACAATTATAGAAACATTTCACCTTCAACTACATGAGTCATGTTATTGGTCATCCGGATGTTCAAATTCTTTTTGTTGTACAGTTGGTCAGCTAATTCTCCCATGTCCAAGGAACGACCTTTGGATTTTGTTTCCTTAAAAATATAGACCTTAGGTGAAACCTGCCTACAACCCATACAATAAATCTCAAAATAAGAAAATATAATTTCAACCATGACCAATAGCTTAATTTAACATATCAAAAAAAGATCCCCACCTAATTATACAGAACTTACATCTTTGATAGGGTTTGGAATTGAAGCTTGTAACGATGGAACTGCAGGTAGATGAAGTTTGCTAATGAAACGATTAGGCTTCGATTTGGGAGTCATCGGCATTGCTGGAGCTAAAAAAAATACACAGTAAATACAAATACTAGAAACTAATAATAGTTAATACAAATTTCATATGAAAAACACAAAAAGAAATACAATACCATGCTGCGATGATACAGATGTATTCCTACTAAACTCCCTCCCAAACAAGAATACTGGTGTGTCGAGAATAGGAACATGATTTGCCTTGACTTGGTTCCGAAAGCTTTTAGTAGCTTCAATTCCATTGTATATATTCTACCCAAGAAATTGAACAAAAATAGATTCACATGAATTAATGATTTGAATATAAAAATATATAACTTAAAAGAAAAAACCAGAAATACGCACATCTGCAGAATGATGGAGACCTTTATCTGATGCAGCATACTTTCCATTTTCGCCATTTGTGCTTGGGGGCTTCTCATGAACTATGTCTGAAAACATTTAAAAATAAAAAATGATAAAATGCTTATTAATGACAACAACCCAAAGTCCAAAAGAAAAAAAAGCATAATTGCACAACATATTCAACATAAAGTTTCTATACATGCCTGAAGCTGGTGGGCTTTTTTATTCATGGAATTAAAGTTAGCATCATGATTGTTGCAAACAGGTGCATTACGGCAAGCATGGCTACTGTGTGCTACTTGAGAACCGTGGGCTTTCTTCCCCAGGTTTTGAGATGCATCATGAAGGATCTGTAGAACACTGAGCACTAAGCTTTGTGCTGGCAGACTAGAGTAATGGCACTTCCCATATGAATTATCTTGAACAAGGTTGCATAACTCATCAACAACCTAATACAAAAAAATAATAAACTTAACAAAAAAATAAAAGAAGATGACAATAGGTAAAATGAAACGAAAAAAAAAACTTACATCAGAAGGCAAATGCTCTCCGAAATATGTTGTAAGCTTCTCCTGGAATGCATTTCTTTTGAAGGACTCCTAGTAAATTTAAACAAAACAATATAAAAACTTACAAAAAAACAAACCTCATTCTCTTCATGCAGATTGAGTTTGGTTTTATCAGGGAGCTCCTGGACATATTTTACTTTCTAAAAGAATAGTCAAAAAACAAAAAAAAAATCAACTTCAAATCTAAGTAGATATGAATTGAAAAGCAAAACTAACATACCTTCTCCTTACAAAAGTTAATGAACTTTTGCATCATTTCTAAATGAGCTTCCATCAAAACAACCTAAAATATAAATAGGCAAACAAAAATAATAATAAGAATTAACATAAAAGAACAGAGTAACTACATAAATGATATACTTACACTCTTATCATCTTCAAAATCTTCAAACCTAAAAAAGTTGTTATGCTGCCCTAATCGAACAGAAAATGAATTACCACCATGGTCCGCGGGGCTCTTCCTTTTCGTAGCCATCTGATTCATAAAGAAAATAAAACACTTCAGGCATCAGGTCAACATCATGCAAAGCCAGGGAGCAAGCTCAAAGTCAATGGGTGCATGCCCTAAAAATAAATTCTAAATGATTTGAAGTTAACTAGTACTGATACAGGCTATAGAATGCAATCCTCAGAAAGAGCAGCAGACCAAAAACCGAAAGTACTCAGTAAGCAATAGCAGAAAATGAATCTAATTCAAGGTACTATAAATCATTAACTAGCAGCCAGCTAACGTGAGTTGAACAAAAAACTCATGTGCAAGCAGCTAAGAACAAAAAAAACTAGAATAGGGAGGATCCACTTATTCTGAATGAATGAGAATAGGCATGGTAGTCAACTTGCTTGAAAAACATTACAACTTTGTAGTAAGAAAAACAGATAGGTAAACATTTTGGTAGTATGAAAATAGCATGGCTCATAAAAATTGAATACAGATTGACTTGCTCTGAATGATAATGCAAACCCGTAGCTGAACAAAGTAAATATTGATGATACTAGCAGGCTGACAGAAACACTAGCAAGAGAAATATAGCTAAACGTACAAAGAAGATTAGAAACCAAGTAATGATTAATGAAAAGGACTACAGCTAGATTGCAGATCTAAACTGACAAAATGGTTGAGAGAATAATACCTGAACTTTATATGAAATGGCTGCTGCACCAAGTTTCTGAACAGAGACCCAACAGTGAGGAAGAGAACAAAAAATAGTAGTAATTGCTGCCACTTACTGCTGATCTGAAAACCCAAAAAAATAAGCTTTGAGCTGCTGAACTAAAAAAGTGCAAATCACATAAACTGTAGTTCTTGCAACATGGACAGAGATACAGAGAAGGCAAAAACAGAAAAAGCAAGGAACTGAACTCAAAATAAATAAGCTACCTGCTACCACAGTTCTACTGCTACGAATATAAAACTAGAGTAAAGGGTTTATTTCTATTGCAAAAGGAAGGAACCAATCTGAACGAATTGAAAGCACTTGCCCTCGGGCCACGTACGGCCATGCAAGAACATGCACGCATGCATTAACTAAAAAATTCCTGAATTTCCTAAAGTTGTGCGGAAGCAAAACGGCAAATTAAATTAGTCACTAAAAAGCTGGCTAACAAAAGCTCTAATAAGCAAGCAACTATTAAACAAAAAGAGCCAATTGGGAAGAACAACACAAGTTGCAGGTGAACTGAACTTAATAAGACCAAGATTATTCTCCCACAGAATTAATTAATGCTCCTGGCAAAACACAAGATAGCAGACTGTTTCTTCATAGTACAGCTAACACAATGCAATGCTGAAATCCACCAGATCGAGCTCAACGCCAACAGCTAGTGATTGCGTACAAATGACGTGATGGTGCTTGAAAGATTAAGTCATGTCAGTGAGACAAATTGTCATGCAAAAACAAAACTCAAAAGAACTGTACTGTAGCTGGACAAAGACGTTTCACAAGCTAGAAAACTCATTCCAACGTTTAGCTAGAGAGGTACTGCTAAAACACCAAACACGCATTTGAGACACGTATTCCGTTCACCGATAGCAGCAAGCACGAGAAACTGAACCAACTTCAAATCTGAACTGACAAAACCAAGAGAAGAGGCACCGGAAGGATCAGTGCTGATAGACTCCAAGCACCGGAAAAGAAAAGCTACAGACCATCTGAAAGTACCGAAACTGGTTACTGCTTCTGAACTGAAAAAGAAAGACGGATTATTCTCTGAACTGAATTGGTGAAGCTACAGCAGCTGCTGCCGCCGTTATGATAGAACTGAGAAGAAAAGCAGCCATCAAATAAGAGAAATGGCACAGATTTATTAGCATGGGCAGATAACTGAGAAGTAACTGATTTCAGCACATAACAATTGGACAGCAGTGACAAATAAAATAGTACCATGTATTTGTACATAAAAGAAATTGAAGGAGCACAAGAGTGATGAACCTTACTATATATCTACTCAAAAGCCAAATCACTACTAGCAGAAACAGAGGACTAGTGAGACAAACATGAGCTAAAACTGAACCATGTCTCTGTACTAAACTGAAAAATGAACGGATATCAGCTGCCGCCCACCAACATCCAGCCCCAATTCCAATTTCCCTTCCACAGCAGTAGCCTCCAGCCATACCCACACCACCCACCCCCAACCCGGTAACCATGGACGAAAGCCGTCGCCGCCCTCCCTGGCGCCCCGCCCCTCCTCACGACGGCCGCGACCAACCCGATGACGTCACGCCCGAACGCGTCGTCGATCTTCCATGCCGCCCCTGACGGCGGGGACGCCAGCAGCGCCATGCGGAACACGTCGAGCCACGAGCCGTGCTCACGCGTGGAAACAGAGGCAGCGACTCACCGTGGCCGTGGCCCCGTCGGCGGCTGGCCACGGGCGAAGTCTCGGTCCGTGAGGTCGAGCACTAGGGAAGCGGCTAGCTCGACCCCCCGTGATCCCAACCACAAACACAACCTCATTCACATCCTCTCCTATACATCAACATACCGCCGCAAAAGACACAAAACCCTAGCATCGATGAAAATAAAACACAAAGAGAGGGGTAGGGGGACTTAGCTCGCCGAAACCTAAAAATCGCCGGTCGCCGCGCTGGCGGGCGGCGAGTCGCCTCGACTCGACTGGAGGAAGATGAAACGAAATGGAAATGGGGGAAAGGGGGAAACGGACGCGATGAGCCCACATGTCACTGCCACAAAAACAAACACAGGCGCAGATACGAGCGGAGGGGGATCGAGAAGAAAACAAACAGAGATCGCACGCTCTAAAAGAACACACGTGACAACATCGACGCCCACAGAAACGGTTACTGCAAAGACACAAAACAACCGGGCAACATATAGAAATTCTCTTTATATAAGTTCAGGACCAGTTGGACTAGGCTTCTTGCCGTGAATTGAGAGAATTTGAGATGCGAGGTGGATGGTGTTGCCGTGTTGGTATTTCGAGTGTCTGCGCTTTTTGTGGCAGTGGCAGGCAGAGATTTTTTTTGAGAGGGTGGATAGAGAGGGAGAGAGGCATTTTACTTTTCGGACTTGCCAGCGCTCGGACGTCCGATTCGGGGTGTTAGCCTCGGACGGTACCTGTTCAACAAGTGAGCGAGCATTTCAACGCATCGGGCTTGCGAGTGAGTGCCCTAGTGCCGCCGGCCGTTTCTCACGCGCATTCCATGTGAAAGACCTGATCTACTTTTTTGAAACATCCATATGCAACAATTGCAATTGCAACATATAAAAAGAAGACAGATGAAATACTTGAAATATGCGTGCACAACACTTGCAAAACACTTGAAAACCATAGCAGTCATATACAAAATCCAAAGGAAACACTTGCAACAGACGTATGAAATACCTGAAACACTTGAAACATACACTTGCAACATGCAGGTATATGCAACATCTAAATCTACTTTTGCAACATCCAGATGAAAACACTTGCAACATACGTCCGATACAGATGAAACTTTTGGAACATCCACTTAAAACATATGTGCAGAGCGATTTCTACTTTTGCAACATCCCGATCTACTTTTGCAACACCGATACGAGACGCTTGCAACATAACTCTGAAACATATGTTTGCAACATACACTTTCAGCACAACATCTTTTTGATGCTTGGGAATGGAGGCTCGTCGGCATATGGAGTTCACCGGTATAGAGCTCGCCGCTCCGGTGGAGAAGGTTGCGATAGGTCCGGTGGAGAAGGTCGTGATAGGTCCAGTGGAGAAGGGCGTGATGGATCTGGCGCGAGCTGTCACCGCTTCGGTGGAGAAGGCCGTCCGCTTGTAGGAGAAGGTTGCGGCGAACGTGAGGCGCGACGGAAATGGATGAAGGTGGGCGACCGCGACGAGCTGGAGGCGCGATAGAGATGGCGGAAGGCGGGTGGCCGCGCTCAGCCGCGGTGGAAATGCCGGCTGGCGGGCACTTGGATGTCGTGGAGAACATCAAGGCGGCGCGACAAAGTGCGGTCACGGCGCTGTATAACGGAAGCGTCCAAGTGTTGAAAGCTTTCGGGAGAGCGGAAGTGTGAGTGTCATGGCTCGTGAATGGGAGCCTCGGGACGATCGGATGTCCTCATCACAGTATTTACGTTTACTTTTTTTTTTCAATCCGGTAGAGAGAAAGCGGCGTAGAAGCCCAGCCAATTGTGATGGTGAAGAACCAGAAATGAGGCCCAAGTTTAGAGCAGCAGGAGCACACAGGCCAAGCAGCCCAACCTCACCAGCAGCCTAGCGGCAAGCAGCACAAGATGGGCTCGCCTCCACAACCGTGGGCCGGGCCGCCACTCTTTGCTGCCAGCAGAACGACGGTGCCGCCATCGCGTTTCTTCTCCAGTTCTGCTCGTTGAGTGCATGCCTGGCATAGTGGCATACGACTTCTTTCCTTTTTTATAAGAAGACGCTTGCTTGTTTTTTTTTTAAAGACGCTTGCGACTACGTTGTCAGTGTGACTTGCCAGACGTCCGGTACAGACAAACATGGCCACGAGCCCACTACCCATGACAAAAGGATGGTCCAATTCAGAAACTTCTGCAGATGAAAATTCTCATCATAATTAATACTCTACATGCAGGAATAAAGAAAATGTGCTCGCTTTCATATCCTCCTCATCAAAAAGAAAAGAAAAGAAAACTACGGCGAAAAGGCCAAGTGGCCAAGACAACACAGGCAAGCCGCAAACCTAGGCGGCTGCCACGTGGACGCCTAAAAGAACCAGCGAGGCAGCGAACGCCACTCGCTCGGCTCCTAACTCTCCAACACGATGCACGATGGCTCGCAGAATCGCACGACTCCCTCGTCTCCCTGCCAGCATGCAGAGACGTGGGATTCTTTTCACGGACACGCGGCACAAATCTGGAGGTGGTATGCATGCACATGCGGTCTCCACCGGATTTTTTTTCCCGGCAGCACCCACGCGCATATTCGCTCCGAATCCGGGGGTCCACGTCGACCAAACACCGTGCCAAGTCACGGCTCCACCACACATCAAGATCTCCCCCGGACCCACCATTCCTAGTGTCACCACCCTCCCTCCCTGACACCGGGCCCCGCCCACCGGAATCAGCACGAGCCGCTACCCGCGCGCCTCCCCGTCCGGGCCCCCACCGGCCACCGCCGTCGCCTTCCTCGTCTTTCTTCCCCGCCGAACCATCTCGCGCCCCAACTCACGCGCGACTCGCTCCTTCTACGCGCTTCTAGAACCAACAAAGGCCCTTAACCCAGGTCAGCCCTCGCGCTCGTGCGTCTGTCAAGCCCGCCGCCGCCGGAGAATAATGGGTAGTAATAAGGAAGAGACGCCACCGGCCGACGGAGGCGGCGGCGGCGGCGGCGCCTTCGCCTTCATCTCCAAGGGGTGGCGCGAGGTGCGGGACTCGGCGTCCGCCGACCTGCGCCTCATGCGCGCGCGAGCGGACTCCGTGCGCGCCCGCGCCAACCGCGAGCTCGAGCACCTCCTCGCGTCCGCGTCGGCGCTCGCGGCGGGGCCCGCGCCCCCGCTGCTGCCGCCCGTGGCCACGGGGGCGCCCATCGCGGAGGTCGAGTTCGTGCGCAAGCGGATCCAGCCCAAGATTCAGGAGCTCCGGAGGCACTACTCGTCGCGGGCGCTCGACGCCCGGTGGCCGGCCGCCGCCGCCGGCGCCAGCAGCCTCCGCATCGACCTCTCGGGGATTACGGCCGTTCGCAACGCTATTGTAGCAGAAGGGGAAGGCGGAGATAGGTGGAGGAGGATCGCGCGGCGGAAGGGGGACCAGGACGAGGAGGCGGAGGGGAGGAAGGCGTGGGAGGTGGTCCGGATGATACAGCGCGGGCTCAAGGAGTTCGAGCGCCGGAGCCTGTCCAGCGACATGTTTGCTGGATTCCGAGGCCGTGGCGAGTTTGTGGAAAAATTTAAGTTGAGCATGGTAAGTTTCAACCATAGCGTTTATTTAATAGGATGGTGCACTCGTGCTTGTTCTACCACTTACATTGAAAACTTAAATGAAAGTAGTTTTAGCTAGTTGTTGTCCTAAAACTCAGAACTGAGGTGTGACCGACAAACACTGCTTCAGCACTTCAGCAGCAAAACTTTGGCATCCACAGCAACAAAATCTTAGGGATTTCTTCGCTAATCTTTTGACGTCAATTTATTCATAATATATTAGCATTAGCAGGCTAGCACACTGTTTATGTGGGCATTTATTTCGATATTGTAAGGTGTTTCTATAAGCATCCATCCATATAGTATATTTAAAAAATATTATTGAAAAATCATCCTGGAGTACACTTAGCTTAGTGATCACTTTATTAGCAGAGTTCAAAAATCTTATAGGCCAACTATTTTGTTAGCAGACAAGTATTTGGTGAATTTTGTCAGCAATTGGGTCTTTAACAAAAAATGATGCTATCGAGTTATTGAGTACACTATGCTAGAGTTGATGTCTGGTGTTGATGAAAGTATTACAGATTAATATGAATTCTTTTCCTCTTTTGCAGAATTCACTGAACAAGGACTATCAGGAATCCAAGGTAATTCCATAAGAAACAATGTATAACTGCTTGAAACATTCTGTGTGCTGCAGATATAGAACAGCTAATGATTGAATTTGGATACATTTTCCCTGTTATTACATATTCTGATGTAGCTAGATTCCATATGCATAGTTGTATATCATTTTTGCAAACTGCAAGCTTATACTAGATATACCTGCAGTACTTTGAGAACATAATTTCGTTTTGTAATGTAACCTGTTCCAGAGAACAATGATGCCATAGAAAATATTGATTCTTACTAAGCAGGGTTGACATAATTAACTTTCAAATATTGTTTGCATAAGATGTCAATGGAGCCAAAATATTTTTAGAGATAAGATGCCTTCAAATATATAGACAGCGAGTTCTTTATTTTTAGTACAAGTAGCTTTCAAGCCTTTACAAAAGCAGACCTTTTCTCAGGGTTTTGATTATTAACTGATAATGCAGTTTCTTGTGCTAGTTGATCTGATTGCTTATTGTTTAGAGTGTGTTGTTCTAAACTGGTGCTGGAATATTATGCAGGAAGTTCCACCACTGCATCTAACTGAAATTCTGGCATATCTGGTTCGGCAATCTGGGCCATTTTTAGATCAACTTGGCATACGGAGAGGTATGGATCATCATTGTTTGTTTGGACTCTCCAGTCTTGGTACTTGTTGCTGACCATCTTATTCTTACTAATGTTATGGTGCAGACCTTTGTGACAAACTAGTGGAGATGTTATACAGTAAACGAAATGGTCGGCTCATGTATCATTCTCTTTCACGGGATAGACCCTTAGCTGTGAACATAACTGATGAGCTTGATCTAAGAATAGCTAGGGTATTAGAAAGTACTGGTTATCACACAGATGAAGGTTTTTGGATTGACCCTGCAAAGTACAAGATCTCAGACAACAGACGGCATGTTGCTATTGTCACCACAGCAAGCCTTCCATGGATGACAGGAACAGCAATCAATCCATTGTTTCGTGCTGCATATCTGGCAAGAAGTGCAAAGCAGAAGGTGACATTGGTGGTTCCATGGCTCTCTAAGTCAGATCAAGAATTGGTTTACCCAAATAACATCACCTTCAGTTCGCCAGAAGAGCAAGAAACTTATATAAGGAACTGGCTGCAGGAAAGAATTGGTTTTGAAGCAAATTTTAAGATATCCTTTTATCCTGGCAAGGTAAACACGCAATCTTTGTGATCCCACTGTTTATGTTCTGATTCCTAGTATAGTATTTTGTTTTCTTCCCCTGGGATTTCATTACTCATGAGATGTTATTTCTGCAGTTCTCAAAAGAGCGCCGCAGCATTATTCCTGCTGGGGATACTTCACAGTTTATCTCCTCAAAAGAAGCTGATATAGCGATTTTAGAAGAACCGGAGCATCTCAACTGGTATCATCATGGAAAGCGTTGGACTGACAAGTTCAATCACGTCATTGGTGTAGTTCATACAAATTACCTGGAATATATCAAGAGAGAGAAAAATGGTGCTATTCAATCTTTTCTTGTTAAACATATCAATAACTGGGTGACTAGAGCATACTGCCATAAGGTATTTGTTTAGGTCAGTTTTTGTGTTAAAGTCCTGTTTGTGAGAACTCAGCTAATAATGGGTGCATGCAGGTTTTACGTCTTTCTGCTGCAACTCAAGATCTACCGAGGTCTGTTGTTTGTAATGTACATGGTGTAAATCCAAAGTTTCTTAATGTTGGTGAGAAAATAGCAGCTGATAGGGAGTGTGGACAGAAGGTCTTTAATAAGGGAGCATATTTCCTTGGTAAGATGGTGTGGGCTAAAGGTTATAGAGAGCTGATCGATTTATTATCCAAACACAAGAACGACCTGGAAGGATTCATGATAGATGTATATGGAAATGGTGAGGACTCTGAAGCTGTCCAGAATGCTGCTAGGAAATTTGATTTGAGCATCAACTTTTTCAAGGGAAAGGACCATGCAGATGATTCACTCCATGGGTGAGGTTCTATGAAGCATTGAAGCTACTAAAAGGAGTTCACTTTCATCTTTGTCTTGTCCTATGCAGATTGCTGATACAGTTATCTGTTTTCTTCTGTTGAATTTTCAGGTATAAGGTTTTCGTCAATCCAAGTGTTAGTGATGTGCTATGCACAGCAACAGCTGAGGCCCTTGCAATGGGGAAATTTGTAGTCTGTGCAGATCATCCATCAAACGATTTTTTTAAGTCATTCCCTAACTGCTTAACATATAGAACTTCAGAGGAATTTGTTGCTCGTGTCAAAGAAGCCATGACTACTGAACCTCAACCTCTGACCCCAGAGCAACGATACAGTTTGTCATGGGAAGCAGCGACTGAGAGGTTTATGGAGTACTCAGAGCTTGACAAAGTTCTGAACAGAAATGGCCACCCTGGACGAAATGGGAAGATTAACAAAGCAAGAAAGATACCGTTACTTCCTAAATTGTCAGATGTGGTGGATGGGGGACTGGCATTTGCTCATCACTGCCTGACTGGTAACGAAATCCTCAGATTAGCGACGGGAGCAATTCCTGGTACACGCGACTATGATAAACAGCAGTGCATGGATCTGAACCTCCTGCCTCCTCAAGTTCAACACCCTGTATATGGCTGGTGATTTGAACCAGTTCACATTGAACTATGTATAGTTGAAGGATGTTTCTCCATAGGTATGTACATATTAAGTGATCCAGTTCCCGTGTACTGACAGGAGCATGAACTTTTGTAGAGTCTTGGTAATTCCTAGGGTCCATGAGGAACATGTCTTGTTGCACTCTTTGACTGTAATTATATTCCTTTTCACTCTCCAAATAGGTTAGTTATGTAGTTGAATGATCTTTCATCAGAGGTATGCGTATACAACCATTATGTAGTTCACATGATTACGAGTGCCTGTACTCTGATGGAGTCTTTTAGGGCAGTAAGGATTGTGACTTGTTTCAGTTTCCTCTGCCATAGTTTGTTCAAAAAGCTGTCTGGAGGTGTGACTAGCTGAAGCAACAATACTCAAACTGAACATTCAGTAATGAGAGAAATTAAGACGTTGATTCGAAAAATACTTCCATTTCCTTACTAACCTATGATGCAATGAAAAATTGGAATTCTCTCGATCAAGGAAGTTGGGTATTCTTTCCATTACTTGGTATGTAACCTAACGACAGTCCTTCATCTTCAAATTTCCTGTGCCTCATGTTACAAAATTGTCTGTGTGGTTGAATGGACCCTGGCATATTTATCTTTGCTACATTTAGTTTTTGTTTCTTCTTTTTTTGTTCTGCAATTCTTTTTTGGTGTTATAGATGAAAACAGTCCAGTATACATAAGACCCATTATCTATGTCAGCTTGTACACTGGAGCCAAGGGTATGAAAGTACAAAAGGAAGCAAAAGCATTATGCTGAGTTGCTGATGTGGCCCAAGACGGGTGTATCACTGTATATTGGCAACTTAAAAGTGGAACTAATATAGGATAAACAATATGCCATCAAACACTACCAAAATAGGTTCCTCCCTAGCAGTGATGATTTTTATCTTGATTCTTTGTTGTTTTAAAGTGTTAACAATTAATTTACGATAATCTAGGGAATTGTACATGAAAGGCAAAAATGTTTAGGCTGCTCCTGACCGCAGTTTTTAGGACTCTTTAAAGTATGATGCTCACCTCTTTGATCTTTGAATAAAGCCTAGTAGCGAACATTTCAAATCATGGCAGTAAATGGTGCATAGAGAACAAACTTTGCCCATGATTTACCTCTTTGATCTTTGAGTTAGAAAGCCAAAACCCCAGCACATAATTTGAGACATATTAGTTCATAGAAAATGACTAATACACTGCTGAAGAAAATTTTTATTGCTTTGATCTACTGTATCCTTTTCAAAAGTCTATCCTCGAAAAGTCAGTCTATTTGTTTCCTGAGCAACTTGGTGTTAGTGGTTGACAGTGCATAGTTGAACTAAGTAATCGCTTTATTATAGCCAATTTTGCACGCTATGCACTGTACCCCATAACTGATGGTTGATATGGTTATGAGTTATGACCTATTGTATCCTTTTGAAAAGTTCTATCCTCAAAAGGCAAGTTTGTATGTTTCCTGTATAACTTGGTATTTAGTGGTTGACAGTGCAAAGTTCCACTAACTAATTTCTTCTTTTGTGCAAATTTTCCATGCTTATCACTGTTGTATCCATAACTGACCTGACCATTGATAGTGAAATGCACTGGCACTTGTAAGTTGTAACGGCACATCTGCTTATTGCTTATCAGCAGGCCGTCTTCTTATTATTTCCAGCTCCTTGAAGAATTATCTAATCTTACGAAGAATTTATAGTTTGAAAGTTAGCATAAGGAAAGGGTTGATGTTGGCGAACTTTACGTGAGTTGTTATGATATCTGTTTTTGACTAGATACGTACTGCCATGCATGAGATTAATATTATACTTTGGGAATTTCACGTATATCTGTTACTTTAACATCACACCTTGGAATAATGATTCTTGGCTTACTGTTACTTTAGTACTGCTACACATTGAGAGGTAGTTTATTGTTCTTCCGTTATATTTAGAAGAAGATTTTTTTTTTCATCTGCTGAGAAAAGCTAATTGGTGTCCAGCTGTGGAAGACAGTGACATTTATCATCACAATTCAGCATCATAATTACTTCTATAAAACGAAGAATTAGTCACTTGCTGTATGCACATTTAGTATTGTACTTCATACTAGCTTACTTTTATCCCATTTAGCAAAGGCTTCTGATACAGATATTATCTCCATGTCAAATATAGAACATCAATAGTCAAGTCCCACCGAAGATTGTCTGCTTCTCAACTCACTACATTGATACCCACATCCTTCTGAGTGTTTTCAGGGTTTTTGAAGCGGGCAAGTCGCGCAAGGATATCAACAGATTCTGTGATTTGCTTCGTCTTCGTAACCAAGTTTGAGAGAAGAGATGCAATAACAGCAACATGCATCGCTTGCACCAGATCTGCATCATCTGCCAATTCGTCTCTGAGGCCTTTTGCTGCTTTGATTGCTGCAGACATGTGAACGTTGGCTTGGGATGGTAGAGTCATCATCCGCATCGCTGCTGAGAGTTCTCGGAGCGCCTTGGCCGAGTGCAAGCTCATCTGACGGCATGCTGTTCGAACCTCTAAGCATAGCTCCGGATGCGCTTCAGGATACTGTGAGCAGGGAAAAGGCTGTAGGTGAGTAACATGGTCCTGTAACCCATTGATCACGAAATAGATGGATCTGCAGTTACCTCAGTTCTTGTGAGGGTGATGACGTAGGAAGCAAGAGCCTCCATTGAAGAAGCGCACTGGCGAGAAAGAGCACCGAGCTTCTGGTAGTGGCTCCATGGGTGCCGGAATTTGAATTTGCCATGGCAAGGCTCCCACTTGGCAAAATTGCACTGCAGTTTTGGGAACACATGCCATTGGATCGGATTGTTACTTCTATAATTTTTGGATTAATTCAGGAGCTTTAATTTGGTGCTCTGCATAAAGTGCACGCATGGTTTGCAAAGTGAGGTGAGCTTACCAAAGAGTCCTCGGTGGCCTTGGAATTGAGGACGGTCTTGTACACTTGGAGAAAGGGTTTAGCTTCCAAATTCTCGAATGTAGCGTTCTCTCTGAAGCATTCAGATTCGATTCCTGCATACGTACGTGTACAGCTTTTAGTCCCAAACTCTGGTATGTTCCGAATCTACCGGAAGTTATTCTTTCTTTTCTTTGCAAACTTCTTCCTTGCTTCGTTGACAGTAGATTTCATATATAATATAAGTGCTTTTCTCTGACTAAGACATACCCATCTTTGAAATCCTAGGTCTATGCTACTGTTTGTCATGGAACGCATGAGAATTCGATTCGTTTTACTTTACTATACATATGGCGTAGTAGATGGTTATATACACGTGCGTGAGGCTGTAACCTTTTGGATGGAGACATGGAGCGGTAGCTATGTACCTTCAAAGAACTCGGCCAGCTTGTTGAGGTTTCCGATGGCGAGCTTGTGGAGGTCCTCCCCGGCCCAGACCGGGAAGATGAAGATGGTGGTGCAGAGGCAGGTGGCGACGCCGACGACGATGGTGGAGAAGCGCTGGTGCGCGAGCCGGATGAGCTCGTCCACGCGGTAGCTCGACACGGCCACCAGGCTGAAGGTGAGGATGAAGATGGTCACGCCGTAGTCGTACCTCGCCTTCACCTCCGGGATGAACCGCGAGAAGGTCGCCGCCGACGCTGCAAGTGCATGCATGCAACACCATGGCCGGCTGGCAGGTAAGCAAATAATAAAGCCCTTGTTTGCAAGTGCATGCATGCAACACCATGGCCGGCTGGCAGGTAAGCAAATAATAAATTAAGCCCTTGTTTGATGTTTCTCTGTCGTGATTATTGTCTTGTCAAGAAATTAAGGAAGTGCACGCCAGGCGTTTTTGCTTCGCACGGCAAACGTGCATGCACGCGGTGTGGTAAAAATGGTCATATACAGACACGGCAGGGTAACAAACGTGCATGGACACAAAACGTAACGTACGTACATAGTAAGAAGACGAAGATGGCGAGCAGCACGGGCTCTGCCTTGTCGCCACACAGGTAGGCCACCTTGTGAGCCCCGACGGCGATGAAGCCGGCGACCAGCGTCCCGAACGCTCTGTTCAGGCCTTTGCACAGTGTGCCACCTGTTACATAAACACCACCCGCACCAACAACTCATCACATAGCATGCATATATGTTTGTAGTGTGAATTAATTGTTGATAGCTCGCTTGTACGGGAAACGGCTGCGTGTGCATATGTACGCGGTTATTAGCTAGCTGCTGCTATGAAACACCGTACGTACAAAGGCGTGCGTGTATACGTACCGACGGTGTACTCCATGACGACGACGGTGGTGAGCACGGCCCACATGGTGGAGACCCCCCAGTTGTTGAACAGCGGCCTGACGTAGTAGAGCACGGACACCAGCGTGAGCGCCAGGCCGACCTTGAACGAGTGCGCCACCCGCCGGGGGTCATCCCTCGCGATCCTGCCCAGCTTGCGGGCGAACCCGACGACCTTGCCCCGGAGCATGCCCGCCGCCGAGCAGAGCAGCTCCCAGCACCGCGCCCGCCGGAACCCGCCGCCGCCAGCTCCATTGGCACCGCTCTCCATCTGATCAATCTCCATGACGCTCGATCGGCCGGCTCTCGATCGACCAAGCTAAGACGACTCTACTCTCTCGCGGAACGGCGGCGGTATAGCTAGCTTGGTGAATCTGCAGAGAGCACACAGTGGGTAGGCTACTAGCTGTGGTGCCCCGCGTGGTATGTCCGAGCATGCGGTGCTATGTCTCGAGGCGCCGGGAGGGCTTATATAAGCGGAAGGGAGGATCGGAGGAGATCAACGCGCCAGCCGGCAGCGGCTAGCTTGGGGATAACGGGCACCGCAACCGCAATACGGCAGCCAAAAGCGTGCCTGCCGTGGCCGCCTTTTCTCTGGGGAATCTTGACTCGCGTCCTCGCGCGTTCTCTTTCGTGTCTCAATCCCCTCTCGCTGTTGCCTTGCTTGTTTCTCGCCAACACCGGCCTTGAGCGTGCGTGGTTGCTCTTACCCTGTACGTGCAAGTGCAAACTCGAAGGCGG